TGGCCGTTCCGGAGGACCGCCGACCGCTGCATCAAAGACCGGGGCGCATTTATGGCGCGCCACCCCGGCACGTTCGCCGGTGGTTCGCAGCGGCCAGAGGAGCGTTAATACGCGTGCGAGGGACTTTGTAATTATTGGCTTCAGAGCCGAAGTCGGTCCCGTCGGTTTTTCAGCGCGCCGATTATCCGAATTGGTTATCGAAAACCCATTAGCACGCGGCGCGCCCGCGACGGCGGGCTTTCGCTCGCTTTTTATCACCCTTTCTCCCCCTTTCTTCCCCTCCCTCTCTCTTCTTTTTTCCTCCCTCCCGGACGCGCCTCGCTCGTAAATTCGGTAATAATTCTTCGGTGTATCAATGCGCGCGCGGAGAAGGCTTCGGTACTTCCGCGAGCACGGGCTACTCGCGGCTAAGATATTGATTTACGACGGCGGTAATGAGAGAACGCGCGTCCTCCTGTACGTCGGATTTCCTCGCATTTTCCGCGGGACCCTTCGATAACCGGCGCGCCGGCCGAGAGACTGAAACGCGTTCCCCGCCGCCGCGTTTATCGCGAATACTTATTGCGCGCTTTACGCGCTCGCGATACGCCGTATGAATTTATACGATTTTTCGCGGTATGTAAACGCCATTCCGATTCATTGTTATAGTAGTCGTATAGTCGACCCGCGTGTAGCACGGATTATAAAGTATATAATCCATTTATGGTTTATCTCGCGTGCGCACATTTTTATGTTGCCCGCCGACGCGGCGGGTGCTGCTCGCGCGACCCCGCGATAAGGAATACCACCGGCGCCCCCCCCCCCTCTTGGTACCTGGGCCCCTCTCCGGCCCTCCCAACGCCCGCAACAGCGAGCGAGCCCGCTCGCTCGAATTTCATCGCGCGGCTACATTCTAATTTACGTTTAACAGGCTATTAAAGTTTATATGCATTCGCCGGGGGAATCTGGGCTGAAGTTGAATCGTAATACGAATACTATGGGGGATGTTTGGTAGGGTGATCACTGAACCCAGCATCAAAGAGTATACCGCGTTTATACTGGATTGCTCGCGACTGTATTTGCGCTTTGTGCGAAATATTCACGATGGCGGTACGCGTGCACGCATGACTACGCCCCCCCCCCCTCGCATTCTACCTCACTCTCTCTCTCTCTCTCTCTCTTTTTATCTCTATTCTATTCTCTCTATCTCCGGACGGCGGCGAAATTTTTCGATTTTCGCCGGTAATCGTCCGGCTAACTCTCGCTGAAAAACATTGGGCGGTTTTGTGACGGTTTCTACGTTGAAAAATGGTCCAACTAATGGCGGGTAGTCCCAAAAGCGGCCCTGCTATTCAGAGAATCCGCGAGCTGCGTTTCACAAGTTAGCGGAATAAAATGAGCAGAACCGATTTTAACTAATATTTTTATTTGTTCATAAAATGTTGCCATAGTTAAAATTTCTCGCTTTACTGGTCGTTTAAATGATACTTTTATTAAGAAGATTAAGTTAGTGGAACAATATATATAAATAGCGATGGAATTCGGCGTAACAACATTACAGGAATTTGTTTCTAATTATTTGCTCGCGAAATATGTTAACCCCGATTTTGTTGCTTGCGAAATGAATTTAAACAACAGCAGAAAACCTTCTTTTGTGCACAAAATTACAATAACAGACCATAAGAAAACAATTGGTTGCTCGCCAATAATATATACGAAATGCTTTAAGTATTTCACACTTTACAAATATACATAAGCACTACATTGAAGCAAATATTTTACTGGCATAGCAAATTTGTTAGTTATGGTGGCAGCAAAGGGATACGTTGAGTATGAGATATGACAGATTTTACAGTATTAACAATTGAGAAAATTATTCGTCGAGCGGATCGAGCGGATAAATCGGCGAGGAGGGCTGACTCACGCTCCTCGGGTCGCGTGAGTCGTCAATATTGAAATTTCGTCTCGCTGGTAAACAAATAAGCTCGACGAAAGATATCGACGGCAAATGTTTCTCAATCAGGGGGATATCGTTATTAATCGAATTTCCGGCCGACACACAGTATCATCCCGGCGTAATCCGCGTCTCCGTACGCCCATTACCTCACCTCCCCCGCCGTCGCGCCGTGCGAGTCCGGCGCGGAAGAATTATACTCGGGGCAATTTTACCCGGATCAAAATTCGGATCCTCCGTTTCTGGCAGCATTCAATAATCTCCCATGCATATTTCACCGCACGCGCCGTTGGACCTCTAAACGAACTGTAGCATATGACAGAATACGCGAGCGTGCGTGTGTTTAAAGCGGATTTGTCTCGGGTATGATGAAACATGCAATATGTACGCGGCGTGTCGTCGCCGATCTCGCGAGCTCCCCATATTTTCCGTGTGACGTCACAAAGCGCGCGGATACGACCGTTGTAATACGGCGATTACCGACGACGGTTTATCCGCCTTCCTTCCCGGCCTGCCTCTTTATCCCCGCGTTTTTCCTTCTCGCACTACCGGATATCCCGCGCGATAATGGGCATTATCGCTAATTTCGCGTCGTAGCGACCGAGAATCGGTCTCCCATCCTCCTCCTCGTTGTCCTTCGCATCCTCTCTTCCTCTCCGCGAGGGAAGTGCATTATAACTTCGATACGCGATAAAAGTGTGCGCGCGCGCGAGCTTGTATGCAAATCACCGCCGACCATCATAATCCTATCGGATCATCGGATCGACGACGTGGGTGGGGAGGGGGGGGGGGCGCGGGGGGGCACG